AATAAACCAAGTTTTTAATTTACTCATAGACATATATTGTAGCGACCCTGCAGTAATGTTCTGTTATAATGTCAAATGTTCTGTGAGTTAATGACATGTTGGGATTGGTGTCAAATTTTGTTTTATCCAGTGAATGCAATGCGCTTCCGTAGACACGAAATGAAAATGAAACTATGTGCTTTGTTGTTGCTGTTTGTTAGGAATTTTCAGAAACAACAGATTTTCCTTGGGAGGACAGTCTTCCTGTATCATTTCCTGTATAAGCCCACACACCAGCATTGTCTTGATGCCGTTGGTTTGGCACTGTCCAATTCAATTTCACACTGTCAATGCATGTTAAAGCATCATCAGCATCATCAGCACATCCCTTACTGCATCTCAACTGCTTTTTTTGTCCATATGGCAAATCAAATGACACATGGCTGCTGTGTATTGAGTATGTATTTTTAATTGTCTTCCTGTAACTTATTTTAGGAATGTCTGACAAAGTGAGATGCTCGGGTTTGTAACAGACACCCATCTAAAATTAAGATTCAGTGGTAGGTCATCAGGAAAGGGTCACAGGCTGAATTTCATTGGTATCAAGACTCTGATCAAATGCTTTAGTTTTATAATATAGTTATCAAATTCTCTATAATAGTCTATATAAAATAATAAAAGTACATTAAGTTGTGCCAGAACCCTTTTTCGTCTATGAGTACAATATTCTGAATTTTAGTCCCTAAATGGGTCCAACTCCAAAGAAATGGATCATGCACTTCCCATTATGCAACTCAACAGCATCTATAGCAAAAACCCTTCCTCCATGGGAAAACTACCATGTCCTTTAAACTCCACAGCCAAACACGTAATGCAATTTCGCTCCTCCAGAGTCACTTTCACATGTAGTACACTTTCAAAACTAGACTTTAATCCCATTAACATTTCAGTTTTTCTAGTTGCAATTGTGCTTTAATGGTGCAGATTACCAAAGAATATTGCATTTAATGAAAACATCACAAAGTAATTCCCACACAGTAAACCTTTGGGCCCCCCTGAGGGTCTCAGACCCTGAGGCAATTGCCTGCAATTCTGAGAATAATCCAGCCTTGGGTAAAGTATGTGTTTTTATCATTCCTCTTAAAATCTACTTATTAAATTGTAAACCTTTTAATAATCTATTCTAAAAACATTAGGTGCTACAGTTCCAGACTCACGTAGCTGCCTGCTTGTTGACCAGTTTCACAGACAAGGATTAAACCTCTCCCAGTCCAACATCTTCTACTGAACATCTCATCACTGAAAAATCAATTACATCTCAGGATTAGGATTAACCCATGTTTGTTACACTGTAAGTACCATTTGTATGCTCTTGGGTTTACAGCGGTAATCATTGCTGAAGCCCCTTCCCAGTCTGTATACAAAGGAAGCCAGTGAAGAATCCCCCTAAACCAAGTTCTCATTGCATAAGAGTCGGAGACTGATCTCATTGTTGCAGACCTAGACCTTAATCCTACCTTAGTAGAGCCAGATTTTCCAAGCAGCACCTCTTATTGTTGGATCATCAGTAGTGGATAAGTAGCATAAAAAGTAGGGCATGTACAGTGGCTACCTCTGCACCTGAATAATTTCTTGGCATCATCTGCCGGTCTGCCAAACAGGCCTCCCGAGCAAAAGATGCAGCAGCTTTATTTGTTCTTACTTGTTTCATTAGATAGTCAGGAGCTGTTTGGGCGATTTAAATGACAAAGCTCCGGTCCTGTTCACCGGGCCTGCACAAAGAACACTGCACAATTCACGTCTGTGCACTTTCTTTGAATAAATAATTTTTTCGAATTTCAAGCTGCTGGGCTGTTCCAAAAACTCATTCTTCAGAACGGCCTCCACTGCTGAGGACCTGAGATAAACAACATTATCGGTTGGGCTGGGGTAGCCTTCACAAAAGGCCTTTATCTTGAAACAAAGCATTGATATCAAAGAGCTCATGGTTGGCACAGCCAGCCAATACACCTTGAGTGGCCCAAGCAGTGCCACGGAGAGGATTCTAAAGCTGGTATTATATCAAATGTAAAGCTTTACCCTCTGAGGGAAGGTCTTTTCAAATTCAGCCATTCACTTTCATGCCATTGTGAATATACTTATGCTGCCATATGAAACTACTAATGCATGAATCCTTATCTGTATGCGCAGTTTGCGGTAACATAAATGCTTTATGGATTACCGCTCTAAGTGGGTGAGAAAATACTGTGTACTCATTCTTTTCTCATTCCAGGACACTAAATCCTCCCCTCTGGAAGGACTTAATTAAAGGCCACACAGTGACCACATTCCATTTAGTCTCTGATTGGATGCCAAGCGCCTCCTTTAGAAACCCGAGACTCTGGTCGGTGGGGAGAGGGTCGCTACTGGTAACCTGATAGTATTATGACAGTGTTCCGCTAACAGCTATTTTACTGTAATTAATGGTGGACCAAGATACTGTGCATATATTTTTAACAACTCTGGATGCAAGCCAGACCGAGGTAAAAACTGAGGTTATTTAAATACAGACGTGAGCTGCAGAGGAATACAAAAATATATAAATATATTGAATATCTGAAATGATCATTGTTGGTTACCAGTAGGGTTGGTTAACGTTTGAGTTCGTTCCGATACCTGTGCTACAACAATACTTTAAAATGGTAAAGGTGCCTAAACGGTGCCTGAACCAACACTAAATGAACAGCTTTTTCAAATTTGAATTTTAAACTTGAAATTGAACAGTATATTAACAGTTAAAGGTCCAGTGTGTAACATTTAGGAAGATCAGTTGGCATAAATGGAATATAATAT